ATCGTTTGTGTGTGACACATTTTGGCATGTGATAACAAATATCCAGAATATAATTTTGAGGCAGAATAGAGCTTTAGCAGATTCCTTATTTGATGCTAAATCCCTGGGTAGGTTTGCAAGTCTGGATGTACATATTAGTGTAGTTGGTCTTTTCTAGACAAGGAAAAGCCCTATTTTCAAAGCCATTAAACATGTCTTAGAAACATTTACCTTATTTTTTATGTGTTGCATTAAATATTATTCGTTAGAGTATTAGTATTCTCCTCCTTGTATACAAGAAGGTAAATCTTTACAGTATAGACACACTTGTGAGAGACCAAGTCCCCTATTCCACATTTCAAAATCTATTTAACAGTCTAAGTTGCTCTGACTGGCCAACTGCCTAAGTGAAGGGCTAATGAGGGGCTCTCCCCTCCCCCTACATCTCACACAGCAAGATATAGCTGAAACTCTAGACGACCAAGTGAACTTTGACTGAGCAGGGCTTTCTGCAATATTTTTCCTTTATTTGTAGTTTTATAGTTTATGTCTGCAGATTATTTCTTATACTGACGACAACACTTTGCCCACGAACAAGAATATCATCTTCAATTTGCCCTAGCTTAATGCATCCATACCATAAAGATTAAACTTCAAGAAAAATATGAAAACAAAAGATGATTGAGATCATTTTATCATTCTATTACATCATGGTGTCCATGATGACAGTTGTAATATCATGAAGTAATTACCCAAACAGCATGGAACAGAGTAAAATGTTGGCATAAGGCTTACTAGAATGGTATTTCTGAATGTGTGGCTTATAGGACCTACTAACAAGAACACTCGTGTGAGGTGTCAAGACTCCCGTTTTTTTCTATTTCCATTTTCCAGGGTCTGTACTTATCATTTGATATTTTATATCAAGATGGTAATAGACTTTTCTCTGCACAGCCACCAGTCAGTGTCACACCCAGCCCTAATTTTTGGTACTATAGTGCATTGCCAATTCTTCTTATTTAATGTATTGGCTTTGGTATTCTTCAGCGGTGAGTAAATTTAAATGGGTAAAGAGTGATGCAGTCGAGACATTTACAATTCCACAACCTATCCTCTCCTTCTTCCCTCCCCTTTCCCTCCTCCTTGCCTTCCTCCTCTTCACTTTCCCCATTTTCTTGTATTGTGTGTGTGTGTGTGTGTGTACATGTGCATTTGTGTGTGTGGGTGCTTCTGCATTTGTGTGTGCAGGTGCACATCCCCGTGCCTCTGCCTTTGTGTGTGGGCATGGGTGTGGATGTGTGCATGTGTGTGCTTGCCTGCCTGCCTGTGCTTTCCTGTGCCTGTGTGGGTATGGGCGTGTGGGTGCCTGCGTATGTGTATGTGCACATGTGTGTGGGTGTGGCTGTGTGGGTGGGTGTGTATATGTATATATAATATATATACATATACACATACACATACAGATACATATATATACATACATATGTGCAAACACATACATGCATACATACATACATATATATATATA